TTTTCCACTTTAATAATGGACACAGTCTTCTTCCATTGCCTGTAGGGTGCCTAGCCTGAATCTCTGTGCTTTATTTGGGAAAAAAAATGCAGACACTTGAGCAATTATAATACGTAACAACCAATGCAGATTACTCGGTACCTGGGAAATTCCTGGGAACAATATCAATAATTAAAGATCATCTTAATTTTCTTTTTTTTTTGTTATGGTTATTGTTTCTTACATGTATTCAAGTATAATCTGTCTATCATTCGCCTACCATTTATTTAACTATCATCTGTCTATCTATATGTAAGTGGCTGTGTGCTTGGGTGGAAATTGGTGAGCAACTTTTTGGATTCAGTGCTCTTCTTTCCCCATGTGGCATCTGGGAATTGAATTCAGGTCATCAGACTTGGTGGCAAATGCCTTTAGTCACTGGGCCGTGTTGCTAGACCCAATTCTAGCCTCCCAACTAATTTATGTCCCTCACTTTAGAATCAGAATATTCTGTTCAAACAATTTCATCAGAGTTATACCAATTCTCAAGAACTTTGTATTTATGAGAATTTATATTTATTGAGACTGGATATGTAAATTTAGCTATAAATATCCAGTGGCCTCATAAAAGAAGTCTCCCACAATACATTTGTTATCACCTCTGTATTTGAGAACCACTTTTCTTCATTTGATCATCGTCTCTCTCTAAATTCAGAAAATGCCAGTGAGTTGTACATGGTAAGACTGTCTCTGTCACCCTGAACCTTCTCTCTGATTAAGCAAGCTCTTCATTAAAGCCATTTTCAACATGGGTTGGACTGGGTAAATGCAAACCAGTAGACATATGACAGGAAAATCACAAATGCAAATATAAACTAATTGTAGCTTAATGCCAATTATACTTTTAGAACGGCCCTTACAAATGTCAACCATTCCCTTTAACTAAATGGTGTGCTTAACGAGGCAAATGAGAGCCAGAATCCAGGATTTCACAATGAAATAAATTCCAGAAATTCAAATTTCAGAGCAGAATCATCAGCCCCACACCCTGTGAGCAGCATTCCCAGAGTCAAGATGACAAAGGCAAGGTGGGTTGAAGCTAACTCAGCCAAGATATTTTAAATCACTTCATTACTTAATGGAGATAAACTCTAGCTGATCGATTATGTATTTATATATGAAGTGACATTTCAAGAAGCTTAGTAAAAAATTATGTTTATAGAATGTTTGCAGTCTGAGACATGCGTAACATGCAGTTTCATTACAATCAGCAAAATTATATTTATTTCAATATGAATGTTTTTGTCAAATAAGAAAGTCTGTGTATTACTCCATCCTTTTTAAATCTTAATGTTCCATAAAAATTGAGAGAAGAGTTTAGAACAGGACACCAAAAGAATAAGGAAGAAACTATGCAGATTGCTGTATATGTAAACACTGGTTATAATGATACAGATATTTGACATATAAAAGGACCTCCATGGTTGCACTAAAATATACAGGCATATTGCTATATTTTTCATTACAAGTATATGGTCAGACAGTATAGTTAAACCACATTTAATATGCCACGATTTAACATAAAATGCCATAGAGTTGGTATATAGTCTAAGATTTTAGTCTAGCATAACATAATTAATAATTGACATGTGCCTATCATCCAAATGATTGCTTATATATAAACGGCTACCTCTCGTTGGCTCAAGAACTTTTAGCTCAGCAAGATCTTTTATTGAGACGAAGTTACTAGAAAACCAAAACAGAAGTTTGGAAAAACTGACAACTGAGACTGAATTTTTATTTTAAGTAAGAATTCTATGTAGGTCAGTGGCATTTAAAAACTAAACATAATGTATATGTTTTAGTCTTACCCCTTAACTTAGGCTACGCTATAAACTGTGGAGCTTTTCTTTATCCTCCCTTCATCTCAGGATTACGACACCAGCAGTTTGAAATTCTGAAGTTTCACAACATGCCCTCCAAGGGACAATGTTTTCAGAAGGCAAATATGAAAACTGTGGTTTCTAAACAAAATGCCCGAAGCCAGGCAGAATGAAATCCTAGCTTACAATACGGTTCATAAAAGCAGAATTTTAAAAGAGAAAGAGATGGACTCAGTCTTCCAACATCCTGGTGAGCTGTGAAGTGTAGAAAATTGATAGGGTTCCAGTATTTGCAGAGGAATGTTGCACAAAGTAATGACATTTGCTTTCTAGATATAGTAGGTGATACTTTACAGAGGACACGGTGGCTTTCTGAAGTCATAATCAGCGTGGACAATGGATGCCAAATCCAGTTGTTTGCCTTTTGTTACTTCAATGCTCTTACATATTTCTCTTTTTGACTACCTGTATAAATTATTTCTTCATTGGATGTGTGTATATATACTATTATTGTATCATGTTATACATTAATGTTATATTATGTCAACATATAACACATAGTAATATATAATTACATGCTATATATTATATGTTGGCATATGATATATATTATTCATTTTATGGGATGGAAATACTTTATAGTATATGTATACATACATGTATACACATATGGTAAAGCACATCACAAAGACACTTATTTAGGGTTTGTAGCAGCTAACAATTGCCAAGTGTCTGCTGTGACTTTTCTAAGATTCATGCCATCTTATGTAGTAATAGTTTCTTGCATTTTGCATGAGTCCAGCAGGGTTATGTGTGCACCTCTTCTTAATCCAGAGAGCCAGCTCGTTTTAACAGTGATTGCGGCCCCTACTGGTTGTTAATATTCCTGAGCCTTCTATTGTGCGTGGCAGGATCACCCGTTACCACTTTTATACCTCTAGTTTGCTAATCCTAAAGTCAATAAACATTCCACTCCCACAAAGACAAGGAAAATACAATCTGTTTTAGGGGGAAGTGCGGCTTTTGTTTTTAAACCACTAGTTCCCAGAAATTGCTGTTGAAGTCTAATGAGTCAGTTCCCTTGGGTGAACACTCAGCTCAAGGGAGGGGAATTTTTGTTCCACTTTATTCTAATAAATCATTTTAAACTTATTTTTGAGAACTTCATCCATGTATGTGATTTATTCCTGTCACATCCGCCTTCCATTCCCTGAGCTCCTCTGGGAATCTTCCCCATTTGCCTTTCCCTGTGTCATGCCTTCCTTTTTTTTTTTTTTTTCATAGCCCACTGAGTCCACTCAGCGCTACCTACACATGCACAGGTGTGGGGCCATCTACTGGACTCTGATCAACCTATCAGGGACTATAGACCTAAGGAAACCTGATTCTCCCTCTTAGTAGCCATCAGCTCTCAAGAGCTCTTCATCCAGAAGTGGGGGACATGTGTTCCCCTACTTCCATGCTGGAATGTTGACTGGCTTAATACCGTGCAGCTCTTGTACTGGTGCTCAGAAGTGTCAATGCTTTCACGAGGCCAAGCTGCTGTGAGTTCACGAGTACAACAGTATTGTTGCATTCAGAAGTCACCGGCACTCTCTTACTCTGGCTTTCATAATCATTCAACCCCATTTTTCTATGAGTTAAACCTTGGGGTGGGAAAGGGCTGCTATATGTCCAAGTAGGAATGTCCAATTTGTGGATGAGAACTCCATAGACACTTGTTCCCAGCACTTTGACCAGTTGTATGTCTCTGTTTTAACTTCTGTTCATTACACACACACACACACACACACACACACACACACACACACACACCACACCACACACACACTTCTCTGATAAAGACTGAAAGCTGCACAAATCTATGGGTACGAAGTAAAGAACAAAAACTAAAAGTCTTTTTTGATACTGTGACTCTTTAGCAAAATAACAGGAGTAGGCTCACTGCTAAGTTCCCTCCTGTGGAGTGTGCCTTCCATCCCACCAGAAAGTGACGAATCACTTCTACAACTTTCAAGTCATAACTGCACCCACAGGCATGTCTTGCCCGGCCAGTGTTTATTGTAGTTCATACGGTTCACGGCTGGGACAAACTGATGGTGACTTTTCTCCTCCAACGTGCTGCAGTGTGGCTTCTGATACTATAAAAGTTAGGCAGCATAGAGGAAGCTTCCAGATCACTCTCTGCCTAATCTCTCAAAATCCTTTGACCAAAGTGTGTGGTGTTTTTAGCAATAGGGTCTTAGCACCACGTTCTGGTGAGCAACCAAAGGCAACACACTAACCCATACTATTTGGTGGGTTTCTGTGACCTCTCTGGCAAACAATACAAAGGAAGTTATCCCACACCTGGAGCTGGGATTTTTATTTGACAACCTATGGATTCTAAGAAAAACACTATTCCCTGTATTAGGTTAATGCCATTTAAATGCCTCTATCCACATGCACACTCACATATACATTTTACGCAATATATAATATGTCACATGTGTATGTGTGTATCTATATTTGAAAGCTTATAAAATAGTAGGTCTCCATATGTTGTTGTTTTTTTTCAAACATCTTCAGTGTTGTTTATCCTTCCCGGATTTTCTCCTCTGCTTCACCCTTGAATCAAGAGAAGAAATTTTATTAAGGTTTTCCAGAAGTATTATAAGTCAATTAGTGTGTTGAATAAAGAGCCATACATGATGGGACAAGCAGCATCTGAGATTGGACATTTGCTACAATAAAGAGAAACAAGCATGTGCCTTGGGGCTGTTGTTTTTGGCACTAGGAAAAAAAAAAAAAGAAAGACAAAAACTTAATAGCAGTCGTCAAAATGAAACATCCTCACAATCAGATTTTTTTTTTTTTTTTTAACAAGACTGAATTAGAAAACAGAAATTAGTTCAACATGGCAGTTCTTTTCTGAGGATATAACTGGATGAGGTAGTAATCATTCAAATGTTTGGATTTGCCTTCTCAGTTTCACGTGATGAGCACTGGAGTGAAAAGGTCGTCTGTTTTTCTTTCCTATAGGAAGCCATGCATAACGCTCCACTACAATCCAGAGACTGGCATCCAGCCAAGTTTCTCAGGACTCTGTGATCCTGTACACAGGACCTGAGATCATCCAGAGAAACGCTGCAGTTCATCATGACCTTCTCTTTCCCAGCTATTTCTCACATAATCATCATGACAGCAGAGTTCCTCATAGGGACTGCCGGGAACGGATTCCTTATCACTGTGAATGGCTATGACTTGGTCAAGAGCAGAAAGCTCCTGGTACTGCAGAGCCTCTTGGTGTGCACAGGCCTGTCCAGACTTGGGCTGCTGCTGATGCTCATGACTCAGAGTTTCTTCTCTGTGTTCTTTCCATATGCTTATGAGGAAAACATTTATGGTGCAAAGGTAATGTTTGTCTGGATGTTCTTCAGTTCAATTGGCCTCTGGTTTGCTACCTGTCTTTCTGTCTTTTACTGCCTGAAGATTTCAGGCTTCACTCAGGCCTGGTTTCTTTGGCTGAAATTCAGGATTTCAAAGCTTATATTTTGGCTGCTTCTGGGCAGCTTCCTGGCCTCTTTGGGTACTGCAACAGTTTGTATGGAGGTAGGCTTCCCTTTAACTGAGGATGGGTATGTCCTGGAAGAAACAAAGCTAAATATTAGCTATGGCAACTTAGTGAAAGACAATGACTTGCTCCTTGTAAACCTGGTCTTACTTCTTCCCCTTTCTGTGTTCGTGATGTGTGCATCTATGTTATCCATCTCTCTTTACAAGCATATGCACCGGCTAAAAAGCAGAACCCAGAAGCTGTCAAATTTCCAAGCAGAAGCCCACATAAATGCATTAAAAACAGTGACCACGTTCTTCTGTTTCTTTGTTTCTTACTTTGCTGCCTTCATGGCAAACATGACATTTAGAATTCCCTACAGAAGTCATCAATTCTTTGTCGTGAAGGAAGTCATGGCGGCATATCCTGCCGGCCATTCAGTCATAATCATCTTAAGTAATTCTAAGTTCAAAGACCTATTCAGGAGAATGATCTGCCTGAAGAAGAAAGAGTGAGGAGGAGACTGTCTGTTTTCCTGATATGGATCCAGTGAACTCTCTTGTTTTCTGGGCCCTCTCTTCTGGCCGTTTCCTCCCAGGCTGTATCTAGGACATGTGAGACAATCATTGAATCTTGGATGGATAGGATATCAGTCTTCCATGAACTGTGTACTTAAAATATTGTGATTTATATTAAGAAGTATTAATTTTCATGAACAACCAACTTTGTTTTAGAAATTAGAGCAAGGCTTAAGACGTCTTTGGGTAAATCAATATTTGAATTCTATTGTCTGTCTTTCCAGGAAATAAGGTAAAACAGCTGCATTAAGTTCAAGACTTGATAGATCATAAAAAAAATGGTCTTTTGGTACACTTAACAGTTTTAAAATAGGTTCATTAGCAAAATGCAAACGGCATGATAATACTCTCATAACTCTGACACTATCACAGAGATGCCATGACTGTCCTGGATAATAGGGTAACGTCTCATCCACTTTTGGCCTCAGGTGGATGACAGCAAGAGAGGGTCAGGTGACACTTGAGCCAGCCTACAAACAAAACAAAACAAGACAAAAACAAGAACAGACAAGGTTCTCTGTTTTTGTTTTCTCTTTAACAAAACGAAGATGTATTTTTCAACCTCCTGGAATATCAAACTCATTTCCAGAGAGAGACTATGGGGGAGATTGCTGAATGGAACATCTCAGAAGGAAGCGCCCCCTCTAGGGACCTCACCTGATCCCTGACTGAGATTTTGACTGGGTACAGTAGCAGGAAACAGATCAGAGACTGAAGGGACAAAGTTGGGATTTGAGGAGGAAAAATAATTTTTGAAACATCTCCCATTGCTTGGAATACCAGTTCAAATCTGAGAAATCCTCTTTGACTCCTAAACCGAAACAAGATGTCTTACTTTACTTATAACAAATTATAATTAAAAGTGACTGAAAGTTGCTGGGACAAAGAAAAACTCAGATAGATATGTATATGCACAATGGTTTACTACCAGATAATAGGTTCAAAATATGCTAACAATGTTTTTGCTGTTCTCTGAAGAAAAGTTTCTCATATTTGAACAAACACTGCTCTCACTCAGGACATTTGTGTATAGTCACATTGCTGCTCCCAGCATGACATTGGGCTCACTGGAGACATTTGTGTGAGGTCATGTTGCTGGTCCCAACATGAGAGCCTCTGATTCAATGATCAGGAAGTACCTCATATTAGCAGTGCTCACAAGTCCCTGCCTGTGGCTTGGGGACACTTTGAGAACAGTGGTTTACAGCCACAGTGATTAAGAACCTAATTTCTGAGGTCCAGCTGGACAGGTTTGCACTTAGTCAGTTGCTAACTAGTTATATTAACTTGGTGTGTTTTTAAAGGTGACAGAATGAATGAAGTTATGAAAGGTGGGAAACGCCAGAGGATTTCAAAAGAACAGAGTGTGTATGGAGTGAGCAGAGGGAGAAGAAAAGTGGCGAGACAACGTTTGGCATTTGTCTTGGTCTTTAGGAGTGGCCACCAGGCTGACGCCCACATTGCCATCAGCTATAGCACACTGTTGGGCATTGTGGTTGCTTGATCTGATAAGTGAAGGACAAGGTGAGGCTTTCTTTGAGGAGAGTTGGCCAAGGCACGATGGGTGCAGTTGGGACATTCTCACTAGGAGGATTGCTGCACTTGTGACATGCCTTGTTATTCAGGTTTGAACATCACCTACACGGATAGCCAGCCTCAAGCTCAGTGGAGCATAACCAACTGAATTCGATACAGCTTGATAGTGTCACATACTATCAGAGTTACCTATGTCGTTCACAGATATGCTCTGTAGACATTTTTACCCTGAATTGCTCAGAGTAATTTCTGAGAGCAAATCAGAAGGTTCCTCTTCTTTACAGCAGTGATTGTGTGTTTGAAGAAAATTCGCTTTAGTGCTCTTCTGTAGGTAGCAAGCTTGACTTCCTCAAAGTTACCTTGGTCTATCCAGACACAGAGACAATTAAAACTGGAGTCTCCTCTGTCCTTGTGCTAGAAATTACTTCGACTCTGAGCTCCAACTGGATCTTCTGCTTTCCCCCTTGAGAAGAGAAACACAACTATTCCCAAGTCCCCAAAGTCACTACATGTTGGCTAAACAAACTTCCTAAATGACTCCTGAGAATAGTTCCCATGTACAGACGGTACTCTTCCTGCGTGGATAGTTTCTCCTGCTCACCAGCCCTTGCTTTCAAGCATGTAGTATGATAAAGGACAGGAAGAAGAACATCCACTACCAGTGTGTCCAGCAGACAGGCCAGGTGCCTGTCTGTGAGCACCCAGAAGGAACAGAGAGCTGGGGCTCACCCACACTCCTTCGCTGGTTTGTGGCCACCATTGCCTGCTCTGTGATGATGAGTCTGATGATGGCCACGCAGAGACTCCCTACCTTGCACAGCTGTCTCAGGGATACACTGACACAAATATGACCTTCAATATCTAGTCCTCGTGTTCCAAACAAGTTTCCAGAAGTTACCATCTCATTTCCCACTACCAGCTCTCTCACTGTTCTGACAGGTAATTCTTACATTTTCTGGCCTGAATCTATGTACCTAGTTCTCCTCTGCCGTTTTCTTTTCACCTGTGTTAAGCTTTGTTTTTTGTCTGCTGCACCCCTTAACTCCAACATAAAACCATGCACTTGATACAGAGAAATGAGCCTAGGCATCAAACCCAAGAGGGTAGCAGGTACATACCCCACAAATAAACTCATTCTTATTTTTTGTTCTGAAAAAAAAAAGTCTTATTTTATGCTCGCTACATTATAGAGAAGTTCATTTTGTTACCTGTCATGTGATAAAAATTGCTGCTACACAAAATTTTCAGTTAATTCATTGGTTTAAGCATGTTGTTTAAGCAGTACTCAAGAGGAATCACATTGCTTTAAAGCAAAGAGACAAAAAATCAGTGCACTGAAGTTTCCATTTATTACATGTTATCTTCCCAACTTTGTTCAAAACTGAAAATAACTTGTACATCCCATGTATTTCATATGGATTAAAAGTTCATTATACATGCAGAATTATCTATCTCAAAGGAGAGTCTTTAATGACCTAACAATATTTCTGTCTCAGAGAATGAATTCTTTTTTTAATATTCTTTTTTATTAAATTTTTTATTAATTACACTTTATTCATTTTGTATCTCCCCATAAGCCCCTCCCTCCTCCCCTCCCGATCCCACCCTCCCTCCCCTTTCTGCATGCATGCCACTCCCCAAGTCCACTGATAGGGGAGGTTCTCCTCTTCTTTCTGATCTTAGTCTATCAGTTCTCATCAAAATTGGCTACATTGTCCTCTACTGTGTCCTGGTAAGGCTGCTCCCCCCTCAAGGGGAGGTGATCAAAGAGCAGGCCAATCAGATTATGTCAGAGGCAGTCCCTCTTCCCATTACTATGTAACCCACTTGGACACTGAACTGCCATGGGCTACATCTGTGCAGGAGTTCTAGGTTATCTCCACGAATAGTCCTTGGTTGGAGTATGAGTCTCTGGGAAGTTCCCTGTGTTCAAATTTTCTTGTTCTGTTGCTCTGCTTGTGGAGTTCCCGTCCCCTCCAGCTCTTACTATTTCCCACTTCTTACATAAAATTCCATTCACTCTGCCCATCAGTTGGCCATCAGGCTCAGCATCTGCTTTGACAGTCTATACTGCAGAGGCTTTCAGAGACCCTCTGTGGCAGGTTTCAAGGTTGTTTCCTGTTTTCTTCTGGCTTTCAGAGGCCCTCTGTAGCAGGTTCCGAGGTTGTTTCCTATTTTCTTTTTCTTCTGTTGTCCATCCTCTTTGCCTTTCAGGATGGGGATGAATTCTTAATGGCGCTGTAAGGGTCTCGGCAGTGGTGGTGCAGACCTTTAATCCCAGCACTCAGGTGGCAGAGGCAGGCAGAACTCTCTGAGTTCGAGGCCAGCCTGGTCTACAGAACCAAAGCTGTTAGAAAAAAAAAACAACCATCTCTAAACAAACAAGCAAGCAAACAAACAAACAAACAAACAGTGCTGAAAGGGATCATAAGAAGTTGCTTTCACCTTTTATTCATGTTCATGTCCTTCGTCCCTGCTTCTGTGTTATGACGTCAGCTTCAGAATTGCTCTTCCTTGTTTTAGAAGACCTTCAGGAAACTGCCAAACTCTAGGCACCTTTCGTTTGTTCATTTCTCATACAGAATCTAAGAGCATCATCACATGGCATTCTGTACATTGTCTTATGTCATGTGCTTACAGTTTCATTTTTGGTAAACAAGAATTTCTAATATCGCTGAAATACGGAGCCACACTGCAATGTACTCTTAGCCCCAAGTACATAATAGCAATCAATTAATCACAAACAGGCACTTGAATGTACACTTTGGATAGAGAAACTCATGCCTCTCAGTAAAATAAAAACAGAGAAATAATCAGAGAGTGAGTTGATTCCATTTCCGAAAGTAGTAATGAGTTTAGTTGATTCAATTTTACTGACATTTTAAAAGGAAAATAAAAACCTCATTAAATCGAACTTCATGAAACAGTACAGACAGGAAAATTTACATCCTTGCTTTAGTTGTCAACTACGATGAAATTACAAGTAATGGGCCGCCACCTAGTAGTGAGCAGTCTCATTACAGGACACACTAGCAGAAGTGGGAAGACTCCAGGCAAAGAGAGCTTTGTCAGAGTGATTCTGTACTCCATCAAACGTATGAAAAGAGGAATGAATGTTCAGGTAACAAAAAAATTTGGATAAATATGAGTTAGATGTCTATGTCCTTCAAATGCAAAACAAATTTAAATACTGTAAACAAAAACATGGCAATTGTAAAATAGGACTATCTTCAAATATAAATTAGGTCATGTTATCAAAAAAAATTCCTGATCCCTTATTTAAGATGCTGTGTTGGATTTATGATCATATTTTAAATAAAACATCTTTTGGGAAACATTATGAAATTATATGATACATTAAATAATAATAATAAGCTGAAAGTGAACAAGAAGATATGCAT